CTAAAAATACAAAAATTAGGCCGGGCATGGTGGCTCATGCCTGTAATCCTAGCACTTTGGTAGGCTGAGGTGGGTGGATCACCTGAGGTCAAGAGATCAAAACCATCCTGGGCCGGGCGCAGCGACTCACGCCTGTAATCCTAGCACTTTGGGAGGCTGAGGTAGGTGGATCACCTGAGGTCAGGAGTTCAAGACCAGCCTGGCCAACATGGTGAAACCCTGTCTCTACTAAGAACACAAAAAAAGTATCCAGGCCTGGTGGCACACGTGGCTATAGTCTCAGCTGCTCGGGAGACTGAGGCAGGAGAGTCTCTTTTTTTTTTTTTCCTCCAGGTGCAGAACTTTCTCAAGTTAACAGGAGAATCTCTTAAACCTGGGAGGCAGTGCTTGCAGTAAGCCAAGATTGTGCTACTGCATTCCAGCCTGGTGACAGAGCGAGACTCTGTCTCCAAAATTAAAATTTAAAATTTAAAAAAATGTATATATATATATATATACACACACACACACACACACACACACACACACACACACATATATAAATTCGCCGGGTGTGGTGGCATGAGCCTGTAGTCCCAGCCATTCTAGAGGCCGAGCAGGAGGATTGCTTGGGCCAGGGAGGTGGAGGCTGCAGTGAGCTGATACTGTGCCACTGCACTCCAGTCTGGACAACAGAGCACGGCCCTGTCCCAAAAGAAAAACAAACAAAAAAGCAAACGAAAACACATTCCTGACAAGTGTCAGGGGCACTGTTGGGAGGCTGAGGTGGGTGAATCACCTGAGGTCAGGAGTTTGAGACCAGTCTGGCCAACCTGGTGAAACCCCGTCTCTACCCAAAAATACAAAAATTAGCCAAGTGTAGTGGCACATACCTGTTGTCCCAGCTACTCCAGAGGCTGAGGCCGGGGAATTGCTTGAACTCGGGGGTGGTGTTTGCAGTTAGCAAGAGCAGCTTAGCAAGTCCCTCTTGCCCCTGGGTCCAGGGAAGGAAGCTTAGTGCTGCCCATCAGGAATCGGCTCCGAGGTCAGCGAGGATGCGCACCCTAATCAGGCCAGTCAGCGCAGCTACGAGATGGTGGAGCCTCCCTCAGCCCCGGCTCCTGAGTGGCCAGCCCTGGGCCTGCAGCATGAGTGAAAAATTAACCTTGTTATGTTCGGGGCTGAGGTGGTGGGGGGTTGTTATCAAGTGTGAGCTTGGCTTGCTGCAAAGGAGTCCAGCCAACCACACGGTCTGAGGGTGCAGGGAGCCGCTGCAAGCTTGGGGGTCCCCAAGGCCGCTCTCCTTGCACACCAGCTGGTTACAAATTCAGGCGACCTCACACCCACTCTCGGGTTCCACAACTAGAATCCCAGGACTCTGCGACCATGCCCTTGTTTAGGAAAGGGACTTTGTAGATGTCATTGAGATAAGGCTCTTAATCCCTGGGCTCCAGACCCAGGGCCCCTTGAATCAAGAAAGGATCTTATTCCACAGCCAGAACCTCCCGGTAATTCTATCTCCAGCCTTCCAAAGGCACTTGCAGCCACCTGCAGGGTGATTGTTCCCGGGGAAGTGAATCAGCGGTGTGCTGAGGAGTAGTGGACCCCGGCTGTGAATGGAGACCCCATACTGGAAATTCACACCCCCTCTGTGCTCCAGCAGCCTGAGCAGGGGCCTCGGGGTCAGGTGAGCTGTGGATTTTCAGCACACGTGCATCTCACGGCGAGCCCAGGGTGGTTGCCCTCAGTCTTTTTTTTTTTTGAGACGGAGTTTCGCTCTTGTTACCCAGGCTGGAGTGCAATGGCGCGATCTCGGCTCACTGCAACCTCCGCCTCCTGGGTTCAGGCAATTCTCCTGCCTCAGCCTCCTGAGTAGCTGGGATTACAGGCACGCGCCACCATGCCCAGCTAATTTTTTGTAGTTTTAGTAGAGATGGGGTTTCACCATGTTGACCAGGATGGTCTCGATCTCTTGACCTCATGATCCACCCGCCTCGGCCTCCCAAAGTGCTGGGATTACAGGCATGAGCCACCGCGCCCGGTCACTGCCCTCAGTCTTAGAGCAAATAACTGGAACAGAAACACGCAACAGCTGGAAGAATCCCTGGCCGGGCGTGGGGCTCACGCCTGGAACCCCAGCACTTAGACAGGCTGAGTCTAGAGGCTCGTTTGAGCCAGGAGTTGAAGACCCGGGCATCCAAACAAGATCCCATCTCTACAAAAAATTTTAAAAGTTAGCCAGGCATGGTGGCATGTGCCTGTGGTCCCAGCTACTCGGAAGGTTGAGGCAGAAGGATCACTTGAACCCGGGAGGCAGAGGTTCCTAAGACTGCACCACTGCACTCCAGCCTGGGTGACAGAGCAAGGCTCTGTCTCAAACAAAACAAAAACACATTCCTGACAAGTATTGGGGGCAAAGCCCAGCTTGGGTGTGCGGTCTGAGACCCTGCCCAGGCAAGGATTTTCTGCTTCTTACCCACGAACCTATCACAAGGTCAAGCACTGTGCCCTCCCAGGGATCTCAATAGGACAAATTGTCCTGGGAGGGCCCTCAGTGTCTCCTGCCAGGTGGAGGTGTCACATGATTTGCCCTGAACTCCTGGACAGTGGCATTCATCCCACAAACAGGGATGTGCTTGAGACACACCCTCAGACTCAGCCCCAGAAGTGAGTTGGTATCTGTAGAGCTGATGGCCCACAGGGTCCTGGGGTGTCCCTTATGCTGTGCTGAGGCAGGATCCGAGAAATAAAGAGACAGGACACAGAAGTACAAGGAAAACGCAGCTGGGCTCAGGCGGCCACGCCACCTATGAGCAGAGTCAGGCGAGATCCCGAATGTCCAGAAGCATGAGTACTTATTGTATATAGGTGAGGGGGCAGGGCACTGAGTGAGGTCATCTTTAAGGATACTGATAGGGTTGTGAGCAATGAAACAAGGTGTCCACCCTCATTAGGTCACCTAGGCTGGGAGGTGGACCGTGTACAGCAAGGGGTCCATTCCCATTAGGTCATTGAGGCAAGGGCTGTGTGCAGCAAGGGGTCCACCCCCGTTAGGTCACCGAGGCTTGAAGGTGGGCCGTGCGCAGTGAAGAGGGTGCAGTGTGCGATACTTCTATCTATGGGAAACTACTTCTAAGAAGATTTATAGGAGGATGCTTTAAGTCACACAGCAGTGACAGAGCTGTCAGGGTTTCCGCCACCTTCTGGCAGCTTCCAATGGGTTCTATGGGAAGATGCTTTTCAAGCAGCACAGTAGCAAGAGCTGATAAAGTTCACAGTCACCAAGGTGGATTGCCGGTCCGAGGGCACCTTCCACAAGAACGGGAGCAATGTCCTACAACCCCTTTATCAGGAGGAGTGGCTCTCGCCCCAAGCCTGCCATACAGCGGTATCTTTACAATACTGAACGCTGCCGCCTGGGCCGTGGGTTCTTGTCCTGGTATAACTGTTTTCCCTCAAATCACGCTCTGCACTGTGTCTACTCCAGGCATTCCTCTGATTATAAGCTGCTTATTCCTTAATTCATGCTCTGTACTGTGTCCACTCTAGGCATTCCTCCAATTATAAACGAAGATATAGTTTTATATATATATATGTAAATAACTGAGTAGTAACACTATAAACTGAGATATTCTCCAGGTCTTAATTGTGCCAGGATTCTGCTTAGCTCTCCTTCCTTTGTACCTATATGGGGGGTTACCCACAGTATCAGAATCAGCGGCACATCTGAGGAAGGGGGCACGTGTCGTCTGATCGGTTTTTGCCAAATGGCCCCCCACCCCTTGAAAGGTCCACCAATCTGCACGGGGGTGGACAGTTCCCCATGGAGGAGATAGAGGGCACCAGGGGAGGGCTTCCGGGGAAGAACAGCCCCTGCCTGCCCCGGCCAGGCTTTGTTTTGTAAGAGTTAAACTTCAGTGTGGCTGACTAGGGGCCGGTGAGGGGCGCCTAGGAGGAACCTGGTGAGGAAGACTCTGGAGGCTGCCTCGGCCCCCAGTTAGGGGCTGTGATGGGGTTTGGAGTAAGGCTGGCAGGGGTGAGCCACAAGCAGGGTGTGCCCTCCGCTCAGGAAGGGACACACACTGCTGCTTGTTGGGCAGTGCCCTGTCCCACTCCAGGGCAGCAGAGCCTGATGAGGGCACTGGGGTTCGCCAGAGAGCTGGCAGCTTGGGGCACAGACAACTGGATCCCCATGCCGTCCACTGCCCTGCCCCCAGCTGATGGCGCAGCCAGGATTCCTCTTCCAGTAGAAGCTGTCACAGGGTAATATTTCTGTTCAGACAAAAAAAAAATAAAAGGAAAGACACCGGCCGGGCGCGGTGGCTCAAGCCTGTAATCCCAGCACTTTGGGAGGCCAAGGCGGGTGGATCACAAGGTCAAGAGATCGAGACCATCCTGGTCAACATGGTGAAACCCCGTCTCTACTAAAACTACAAAAAAAAAAATTAGCTGGGCATGGTGGTGCGTGCCTGTAATCCCAGCTACTCAGGAGGCTGAGGCAGGAGAATTGCCTGAACCCAGGAGGCGGAGGTTGCGGTGAGCCGAGATCGCGCCATTTGCACTCCAGCCTGGGTAACGAGCGAAACTCCGTCTCAAAAAAAAAATAAAAAAAAGGAAAGACACCAACATTCTACTGCCCTGTCTCCCAACAGCACTGCTCTCTGCAGCCATGCCACCTGCACGCACACACGCACACATGCAATCCAATTTTTCTTTCTTTTTTTAAGATGGGGTTTCACCATGTTGCCCAGGCTGGTCTTGAACTCCTGACCTCAGGTGATCCACCAACCTCGGCCTCCCAAAGTGCTAGGATTACAGGTTTGAGCCACCACACCCAGCCCCAATTTTTCTTTCTTTTCCAGAACCCAGGAAGGAGCTTCTGGCTGGCAGGCCTGGGGAGTGGGTGAGAAGGGCTACCTCTTGAGGGGAGTGGTTCTGCCCTGCTCACTTCCCGGTGGCCCCCGGGGACTCCTGTCACCTGGCCCCCACCTCCCAGCCCAGACCTATAAACCTACCCGTCCTCTCTTCACTGCAGGCCCAGGCTGGGAGGCAGCACCATGTGGCTGAAGCTCAGTGGCCTGTGGATCCTGGTGACTCGGGCAGGGAGAGCTGGAGGTGCAGGAGGGGTTGGCTGGGAGAGCGAGGTGGCCAGGCTGCAAGACTCACAGAGGCCCCGGGGCGGGGCCTGAGTACTACTGGCCTGTCAGGCTTCCCTCAGCAGCAGGACTAGCAAGCCCTTCCCTGGTCAACACAAGACCCCCAGGAGAGGAGTGAGCTTGTCTTCTCCCCAGGGCGACCCCCAGAACCAGGCTGCACAGGCAGTATACAGCCAGGTCTCCTCCCTGTGGCCCAGTGGGAGGGGCTGCCCTTGGGGCCTCCTTGGTCCTCCTGCTGGTCAGCTGGGTCTCGGACCCGGGCCCTGCCCACTGTTGGGCCTCCGCCCTCTCACTGCTCATTTCTGGGCAGCAGGGGTGGCAGCTCCTACTCCCGCCTGCTCTCCTGACCACAGACTTACGGCGCCATTTACCCACCAAGTCCTCTGAGCCTCCCGGGGAACAGACAGAACCCTGCAAAGGCCTTGCATACCTTGGGAGCCAAAGTGTGGGCCGTGAGCTGCACCAGCGCTGACCTGGTCAGCCTCCGCAAGGAGATGAAGCATGAAGCTCAGTGAGGCTTGGATCTACCCCCACCCCAGGGATGCTTCCTGGTCAGACCACCGCCCAGGCCACTTCCCAGCATCCCACAGTGCCACGAGTCAGATCCTGTGTGCGTGGACCTGGGCCACTGGGAGGCCACCATGCAGATGCTGGGTGGTGTGGGCCCTGTGGACCTGCTGGTGAACAATGGCGCCATAGCACTGCTGCAGCCCTTCCCAGAGGTCACCAAGGAGGCCTGTGACAGGTGAGAAGCAGGGACAGGGTTGGGCAGGGGAGCTGCTGAAGATGGGCTGGTGGAGGTGGCTACGATTCCTGCCTCCTTCAATATGAATCTGTGTCGTGCACCCCAGGTGTCCCCGGTGAACCAGTGGGAAGAGGAGGCTCATCGCTGAGCAGGCTGCGTGGGGGTGCGCTGGGGTGGAGTCAGCTGCACCCACTCTGCTTTCAGATCACAGCCTGGGGCCTGATGGGTCATGGAGCACCCAGCTCCATCGTCAGCATTTGGCCCATGCTGCCTTCCCAATCCCGTGACCTATGGTGAGTCCCTCTGCCCAGCCTGCACACCGATTCCATGAAGCAGGATCCCCACCCTGCAGATGGGCCTACCTGGAAGGAGGGCTCAGTCCCTGAAGGTCCTCAGTGTTGCTCCCAACAGACTCCACCGAGGGTGCAGTGCCCATGCTGACAAAAGCCATGGCCATGAAGCTGGGGCCACGCGAGGTGGTCGTGGGGGCGGGGCTGGGGACCAGGCCTTGGGGGTGCAAAGCGGGTGCTTTGGGGCAGGGCTGGGGGCCGGTGGTGAGAATGGGAAGCGGGCGGAACCACACAAGGCTCTAGCCAGAGGGGCCGGGAATTACCCCAACACAGGAAGTAAGCTCAGGCCTGGGGGCACCCAGGGACTGCGTGGACCGGGGACTGGTGCACAGGCTGGGGCCACCACCTCTGGCCCCGGCCCCAGATCCGAGTGAACTCTGTAAGCTCCATGGTGGTGCTGACAGCCAGGGGCCAGAAAGTCTTGTCCCATCCCAGCTCCGCTGGAAGGTGAGGGGCCGCCACCCACTGAGGAAGACTGCAGGTTGGGGCGTCAGCGGGTCAGCAGGGTGACCTGGGGAGCTCAGCCCAGCTACCCTGACCGGCCGCCGCCCCCGCCGAGGTGGAGGAGGTGGTCCCCAGCATCTTCTTCTTGCTCAGGGACGGCAGCGCCTTCCCAGAAACTCGGACACCCTCCCGGACGCCGGCTACCCAGTCATCTAGAGCCGCGATCCCTGCTGCGGCCCCGCCCCACGCGAAAGGCCGCCACGCCCAGGTCCCGGTCCCGCCCCCGCCGCCTTCACGACCCGCCCCGACCCTGCTGAGACTCCAGCTCCCGCCTCGGCCCCGCCCCGCCTCTCCTGACCCCGCCCCCCAACCGCGCTCATCCACGTGCTCCATAATGGCCCCGCCCCTGCTCAGGCCCCGCCCTGCCCCGACTTCGCCTTGGATCATCGCAGGTCCCACCCCGGCCCCACCTACTCCTGACTCGCCCCACGCCCGGCCCTGCGCACGCCCACGAGCCACATTCTCACGCCCAATGCCCTTGGAATGGAAGGGAGGGCGGAGAGTTCCGCTGGAGTAACAGGGATGGGGTCATATTGCAGCAAATCCCCCAGATAATCCACCTCCACCTCTGGGTGCACCTCTCACCCAAGGCCACCGGTAAGAGGCTGCCCAAGCCAAGGGCCGAGCTCCCAGTTCTGCTCAAAGAGAGCCCCTGGACTGAATCCGGGCTCAACGGCCCTGCCGTCCAGGCCTGGCCAGAGGGTCCTGCAGGCCCTGGAGTTTTCAGCTGTGCTTGCCCAGGCCCGGCTTTTGCCATGCCATCTGGGTGTGGGTAACAACCCCAGGGGCACCAAGGAAGGAGAACTGTACAGACCCCAGGTGCACTTAGTGCCTGAAGCATAACTCACTGCTTACTATATCTAGCGTATATATATATATTCACACTTAGCCCCATATAATCTTTGTATATAATCATCTAGGTATTGTAGTCGGAGCTGTACTGACACATTCAGTGCTGATTTATAGAATCCTTCCATATAACCATATAGTAGTTTGTAGTAGGAGGAATGCCTAGAGCAGTCACAGAACAGCAGCAGTACATGGGAAAACAGCCAGACCGGGACAAGAACCAGAGACCCTGGCAGTGGCGTCCCTGCCTGAAAGGGCATACGCTGTATGGCAGGTTGGAGCAAGGGCCTCTCCTCCTGAGAAAGGAGTTATAGCACCTTGCATCCAGTTCCTGTGGAAAGTCGGCCTCAGGCCTGAGATCCTGGAAGTAACCGAGGGAGAAGAACCCCCCTGGTGTGACCAGTCACAGCGGCTGTACACCCTGTCAGTCTTTTCTCACTTCTGTGCTAGCGCAAATCACCCTCCCATAAACTCCCATAAATATCTTTATATATGTGTGTATATATACATATATACACGGGGTTTCACCATGTTGGTCAGGCTGGTCTTGAACTCCCAACCTCAGGTGATCTGCCTGCCTTGGCATCCAAAGAACTTGGATTACAGGCGTGAGCCACTACGCCTGGCCCAGTATGCATTTTTTAAAGTCTGGCTTATTTTGGCATCATTGTTTTGAGACACATCAGTGCTGCATGTATCAGTAGTTCCTTCTTAGTGCTACCACAATTTGCTTATCCATTTACTTGTACTTAGGGATTTGGGTTGTTTCCAGTTCTTGGCTATTGTGACTAATGTTGGGAACATTTGTGTACAAGCTTTTGTGTGGACATACGTTTTCAGTTCTCTTAGGTATATACCTAGGAGTGAAGTTGCTGGGTCATGTGGTAACTCTATGGTTAACATTTAAAGGAACTGCCAAACTGCTTTCCAAAGTAGCAGCATCATTCTCTGCTTCCTCCAGCCGTGTGTGAGTTTCCATTGCTTCTCATCTTCACCAGCACTTGTTCTGGCTAGTCTTTTCATTTTAGCCATTCTAACAGGCATGAAGAGTTTTGATTTTATCCCACACGTGATCATGAGCCAGTGAACAATATGAAGGTGGGATGGGAAGGCTGGGCGCAGTGGCTCACGCCTGTAATCTTAGCACTTTGGGAGGCTGAGGCAGGTGGATCACCTGAGGTCAGGAGTTCGAGACCAGCCTGGCCAATATGGTGAAACCCCACCTCTACTAAAAATACAAAACATAGCTGGGCATGGTGGCGGGTGCCTGTAATCCCAGCTACTTGGGAGGCTGAGGCAGGAGAATTGCTTGAACCTGGGAGGTGGAGGTTGCANTTTTTTGTATTTTTAGTAGAGATAGGGTTTCACCATGTTGACCAGGATGGTCTGGATCTCTTGACCTCGTGATCCACCCGCCTCGGCCTCCCAAAGTGCTGGGATTACAGGCGTGAGCCACCGCGCCCGGCCCCCCATAAATATCTTAAGAGCACAAGTCTTCAGCTCCCACTGCATGGCTTACAGTATCCTTCTATTAGAAACCCTTTGAAGTCTCCAGCCCCCAAATAAGAAGTGTCGTGCACGACACCTGTTGCACACAGCCCACCTCCTTACCTTGATGACTTAATGGGGGTGGACCCCTTTTCTGTACACGACCCTCTATTACTGCGCACGGCATGGCCCCCTACTGCGCACAGCCCACCTCTCTGCCAGGTGACCTAATGGGGTGGCCCCCTCGCTTGTGACTCGCGTGATTATGTATGCCCTATCACTAAGCCTATAGGGGATGACCTCACTCACGACTCTGCCCCCTACTGTACCTAATACAGATGCTTCTGGGCATTTGGGGCTCTCACTGATCTCCGCTCACAGGTAGCGTGGCCCCCCGAGTCCAGACGCTCTTCACCAGGTCTTCAGTGTCCTGTCTCTTTACTTCTGGAATCCTGCACTTCAGCACAGCAAGGGACACCCCACGACCCTGTGGGGCTGTACAGCCCTACATCTGGGGAGCTATAGGCCTGAGGTGGATGGGGCATAAGGTCCAACCATGGGCGAGGGGGCAGAGGACTAGGGTCGGGATCCGGCCTGCCAAGCAGTGGGTGGGAGGGCACAGGGCACAGGGTGGGGGTGGGAGATGCTGAGGGTGCTTCTGACCAGCCAGCAGGACCCATAGGGAGCAAGGCTTGAGCCACAGATCACAGGACCAGTAAGGCCTGGTCCACTCTCCTGAGGACACATGCAGGCCGCTGGAGGGGGTCTAGGCAGATGGGCCTTCTGGGAAGTACAGGTTGAAAGCTGTTCTTCCCTCGGCTGCTGGCAAGCAGAGAGTGGGCTCCAAGGGTAGGGGCAGAAAGCAGGGTTGACAGGGTGGCCAGGGGTGGTGGACTGACTGCAGGGCCAGGTCTGATAGGGACAATGTACTTGGCTGCCCCCAGAACAAACCAGGACCTTGCCTCCTGCTGTACCTAGCCACCCTTGACTCCAGCCTTTCCATGCCTCTGGGACCCAAGCTCTAGATGATCCAAAGTCTGGGGCCTGGATCCACAGCTACAATCACCAATTCCATACTCCTGGCCACAGAAGGTCCTCAGGACAGTGGTTCTAGACTTTCCTACAATGAAACACGGAACAAAGTAGGTTTTACACGGAGGCCGGGTGTGAGCGGGTACACACACATCTGTAACTGATCCCAAAGCCTTGGGAAGCAATGCTGGTCTTTGCTGGGCCACCGTGTACTTCTGTGACCCCAATCCTATCTCTTCCTATCCTATTTAACTTTTTTTTTTTTTTTTTTTTTTGAGACAGAGTCTTGTTCCATCGCCAGGCGCCAGGCTGGAGTTCAGTGGCGAAATCTCGGCTCACTGCAACCTCTGCCTCCAGGGTTCAAGCAATTCTCCTGCCTCAGCTTCCCGAGCAGCTGGGACTACAGGCGCAGGCCACCATGCCCAGCTAATTTTTGTATTTTTAGGTGAGACGAGGTTTCACCATGTTGGCCAGGATGGTGTCTATCTCTTGACCTCGTGATCCACCCGCCTCGGCCTCCCAAAGTGCTGGGATTACAGGCGTGAGCCACCGCACCCAGCCCCTATTCAACTTCTAAAAGGCGCCCGCGGCCGCATGCTGGCTGTCCAAGGTGACCTGTGGTTCAAGTCCCTTTCAGATGAAAGCGGAGATCTGCTGACATTGGTGTCTTCTCCAGACACACTGGGTTGTCCAAATTCTTTCCCTTGGCATTACCAGTGAGCCTCCGTGTCCTGCTCCCACGCCTGGGGGATGATGGGCACAGGTGACACGTTTTAGGACATGACAAAGTTTTCAGAAACAAAACAAGAAATGTTGGCCCTGAGTTCTTCGTTTCACGTGTGCTTCCCGAATTTAGCCACATGTTCTTTCCGATATTAACCGCCAGCGGCTTTTTGTAATAATCTTGGCAGGAAAAACAGCTAGCCAGAGTCCACTCAACGGACTTCAGGCCCGGTGGGTGGGTCGCACCGGGCAGTTCAAAAGACCCGGCCCAGGGACCGCGGAGGCCCCGCCCCGCCCGGCGCGCCCGCTCCTCTCGGCGAATCGCCGCAGGGCGCAGCAGCGATTTGCATGTCCCCGCCCCGTCTCCGGAGGCCGCCCTGCCATTGGCCCCGCCGCGCCCCGCCCTCCGCGGCCCGAGTTTCAAGTCCCGCGACCCCAGCACGGAGGGCGGAGACGGCGCGGACATGGAGCTGGGGCTCGCGGGTCGCCGCGCGCTGGTCACCGGGGCGGGCAAAGGTGGGCGGCGGGCAACGGTGGGCGGCGGGCAACGTGGGGGCGGCGGGCAAAGGCAGGCGGAGGACGCCCTCACGGAGCTGTACCCCGGCAGGCATCGGGCGTGGCACGGTCCAGGCGCTGCACGCGGCGGGCGCGCGGGTGGTGGCTGTGAGCAGGACCCAGGCCGACCTGGACAGCCTTGTCCGCGAGGTACGCGCCGCCGGGTCCCAGCGCGGCGAGGCGGCGAGCGGGGAGGGGCGCCAGCGGGCAGGGTCGGTAACCCCTGTGCGCGGCTCGGCCTCCCCTCGCAGGCGCTGCGCTTCTCACCGCGGCCTGGGCGCCCTCGCACCCACTCCCAGGGCTCGTGGTTTGCGTGGGCGGCCGCGTGGCCAGCAGAGCCGCCAGGGCCCTCGGGCTCGGAAAGAGGCCGAAATGGCTACACAGCAGGCCCGGGGCAGGAGGCGCTCGGGCTCAGAGGGGAAGTGACCCAGCAGGAGGCAGCGCCTGGCTGCGGGCCCAGAGCCCTGACCACTCCGGAACTCCTAACTCCTTTCCTTGTCGGCTGATAGGGCACCAGCCCCGGTCCCCGGCTGTGCTGCTTGCTGGGCACAGAGTCTCTGGTAACTTGCCTGCTGATACACACAGTGCCCTGGGATAGATCCTGTCTGTGTGGACCTGAGCGACTGGGAGGCCACCGAGCAGGCCCTGAGCAACGTGGGCCCCGTGGACCTGCTGGTGAACAACGCAGCTGTGGCCCTGCTGCAGCCCTTCCTGGAGGTCACCAAGGAGGCCTTTGACAGGTGAGCCTGTGGGAGTGGAGGAACCCTAGAGAGGGGCAGTCCCGGAGGCAGCAGCGCCAGCCTCTGACCAGGCTCTGTCCCTTGGCCTCTAGATCCTTTGAGGTGAACCTGCGAGCAGTCCTCCAGGTGTCGCAGGTGAGCTGCCCTCCAGGCTGGACGGGAACTCTGGTGAGTGCTGCCAGCTCTGCCTCACCCTCTCACTGCAATTCCAGATCGTGGCCAGGGGCTTAATAGCCCGGGGAGCCCCGGGGGCCATCGTGAATATCTCCAGCCAGGCCTCCCAGAGGGCAATAACTAACCACAGCGTCTACTGTGAGTGCCCCAGCTGTGCCCTCGGTCCCGCCCCAGCCCCAGCCCCAGCACCAGCCAGCTTGGGTTCCCCTTCACAGGCTCCACCAAGGGTGCCCTGGACATGCTGACCAAGGTGATGGCCCTAGAGCTCGGGCCCCACAAGGTGAGCAGCACTGGGGTGCCTCCCCCAACCTAGGGCACCCCACTCACCCTGCTGACCCCAGCTGTCCTGGTGTAGATCCGAGTGAATGCAGTAAACCCCACAGTGGTGATGACGCCCATGGGGCGGGCCAACTGGCTCGACCCCCAAAAGGCCAAGACTATGCTTGACCGAATCCCACTTGGCAAGTTTGCTGGTGAGTAGGGTGGGAGCCCAGCCAGCATGGCACCAGTAGCCCCTGTACCCGCCCTGGGCAGGGGTGGGAGGGAAAGATGAGTGGCAGCCTCCTTCATCTCTGCCCCATCCCTGCCCTGCCCACAGAGGTAGAGCACGTGGTGGACGCCATCCTCTTTCTGCTGAGTGACCGAAGCGGTATGACCACTGGCTCCATTGTGCCGGTGGATGGGGGCTTTTGGGCCACCTGAGCCCTCTCCACACACACCTCAGCCCCATGCCATGCCCATCCTACCCCCAATCCCTCCAATAAAACTGATTCCTCTGCTCAGGCTATGTGCTATTCCTAGGCTGCCAGCAGGTAGCTGAGGCTCGGGGCGGGGTGTGGTAATGCTGGCAGAGACCCATGAGAGCCACATTCCAACCAAAAGATGACCGTGGGGGCTGAGGGGGTGGCATAGTGGTGGTGTTAACAGCTCTCAGATGGCCAGCTTGCTGTGTGGGACTGGGAGGGAGGTAGGAGGTGGTGAAAGGCTGGCTCCTAAGGAAGGCAGTGAATTTCAGCACGGATGGCCTTGGGACCTGTCCAGAACCCTGGGGTGAGACAGCGTGTGCATGTAAGTTTTTGTCACCCGCTCTGTGAGTGTGCGGTTGGCTACTCTTCCTTCAGGCTAATAAGTAAGACAAAAGGGCAGCAAGGAAGACTTCAAGCTTCTCCATTTTGTCAATGACCTGAGCCAGTTTGCTGAATCAGACAATGGTTTTCAAATACTAGAAGAGCATTTCCTCAACTTGTGGTGCTGCTCACACTGTAATGAATACAGATACAGCATCCTGAAGTCTAATCTGCATTTTCTCCATCATCTTATCAAGTCTAGACACTTAACTATAAATCAAGCTCCAATGTAACGAGTTTGCCAATTCCCATGGTGTAAATACTCCCACCACAGCTGATTTCAAGCTATTGAACGTGGAGGTGGAAGAGATACCCTCAGCACCCTGTTACGTGGTGTCTGTGTCCATTGGTACCACAGATATACATAACCCGGGGCAGAGAAAATAGTAATGCGTGCAGAAATAACTAGGAAGTGATGTTGGTTGATTTTGCTTTTAATAAAACAAATTGTAAACTTCTATAATTGTTAATCGTGGTTAACAACTGACTGGCAAAATTCTTGAGAATTCCGCAGTCGGCTTAACTGAGCCAGAAGGAGCTGTCCCCACCCAGCACCAGGTGAAGCTGACTCTGGCCCTCACGGCACCCTCCGATCCTGAGTAACTCCAAGCTCCAAAACGTGGCTCGGGGCCCACTGTTTCAGGCTTCAGTATCGGCAGACTGTGCTGGGTCGCTGCTGTCTTCACTCTTCATGCCACACACCGACCCCTGCGCCTTTGTGCACCCTGTGCCTCCGCCTGAATGCCCCTCCTCCCAGTGCCAGCCAGAGGAGCTGAGGGATGTGGGGGAGGCTACCTCAGCTCCCATGAGGCTCTGAGAGGCCTGACCTGGTTTAGCCTCTTTTCAGACTGTCCCGGTCAGCACAACCGGAGCTGCCTGGTTGGCCACCTCTCCCGGAAATGTGCCCTCTCAGAGGCCGCAAATTGGCACGAGGGAGCCTCGTACACAGGCGTGCGATCATCCCAAGGGCTCAACGCACTTGCTATTGCTTTGATCTGGGTTGGCTCCTTTGGGGGCTGAGGAGTGCAGCAAGCCCCTCTTGCCTCTGGGTCCAGGGGAGGAAGCTTAGTGCTGCCCATCAGGAATCGACTCCGAGGCGCAGCTGGGGTGTGACCCACACGCTCTGCGTGGTCACTGGGGGGCAGTTAGGAGCAAACCCCGCCTAGGGCAGAAGGGCAGGTAGTGAGAGGCAGGAGGTGTAGGTAGAGAATGTTTATTGTATAAAATAAGAAGGGGCCGCCCCGCTGAGGGGCGCAATGGACAGAACTCCCCCCCACCCTCCCCACACCTGCCCCTTCAGCCCCGAGGGAGACCATGCTCCCTCCCGGCCTCTGGTGGGGGCCAGGGAAGGCTGGAGCCACACCCCAGAAAGAGGCGGCAGAGAGGACAGGACCCTGCCGCCCAGCCTCGTCCCCATGCTTCCCGCTGCCCACCCCCACTGCTCCCCACCGCCAACTCAGGGACACCACACGTCTCAACACAACAGCAGACACGTCTAGGGCTGCTCCCCTGCCAGCCCTCAGGCTCTAGAAGACAGTGCACTTCTTCCCTGGCTTTTTCACCGGGGGCGGGCAGAGCACTGCCCGGATCGCCTCGTCAAACACTGTCTTCAGGCCCCGCTGGGTCAGGGCTGAGCACTCCAGGTACTTCACGGAGCCTGACAGTGGTGAGGAGGGAAGACAGGGTGGGGTATTGGGGGGCCCTCCTCGAGCCTCCCTGCCCCTCCCCTGCAGGCCGCCAGCGCCTACCCACCGATCTCCCGGGCCATGGCCAGGCCCTGTGGGTATGTAATGGGGGCCAGCTTCTTGTCCCGCAGCCGCTCAATGGTGTCCTTGTCATCGCGGAGGTCCAGCTTGGTGCCCACCAGGAGGATGGGCGTGTGGGGGCAGTGGTGCCGCACCTCTGGGTACCACTGCAGGGACAGACCACTCTGACCCTTACGCTTGGGGTCTGCTACCCTAGCCCCGCCTGAGCAGGCCACGGCTCTCAGGCCCTTTTCCCCACTGCTCCAGAGACACTTGGCTCTTCTTCCTTCAAAGGGTGACCAGGGGTCTGGTGGGTTTGGTGGGGAAATGCCAAAAACAAACAGCCAGGGAAGCTGGAGACCCCCAGGACCTCCCAGTAAAGGCCCATCCCCCGCTCTCAGACTCCGTTCTGAGAGCTGTATCCACCACGGCTATGCCGCCCCATCAGCCCCCGCGGTCATCTTCAGATCCCACCCCATGTGCCTACCCCAGGAAGAACCATAGCTCAATTGCCTCTAAAGGACAACTGTCAGGGCAGGTTCTGGGGCAAGCCCTCCCCCACCAGGGCCCAGCCTTGCCCACCTTGGCACGAACGTTCTCGAAGGAGGCCGGGCTCACCAGGGAGAAGCAGATTAGAAAGACGTCCTTGGGAAGAAGGTGGGGGCCGGTGGAGTGGTCAGGGGGTCCCTGTGGGCCTGCTCCCTCCCCTGTCCGGACCTCAGGGACCCACCCAGCTCCTGGGGCCGGCCCTGTCACCTACAGTTTGGGGGTAGGAGAGCGGCCGCAGCCGATCATAGTCCTCCTGCCCCGCCGTGTCCCACAGCCCCAGGTTGACCGGCTTCCCGTCCACCATCACGTTGGCAGAGTAGTTGTCAAAACTGCAGAGCAGTGAGGGCAGGGTCAGGACTTGGGAGGGGTCCCAGAAACCCCCAGCCCCGCGGCTTGTGTCTTGGGGTTCACAAGTCTGCACGGAACTGGAATTCTAGTTGGCACTTCAGCCCCAGCCGGGAAGCTCAGGCAGGGCCACCTGAACCGGACCTGGAAGCCCAGGGGAGCCCCGGCCCGTGTCCCCCCCATGCCCTACCCACACGGAGGGCACGTGCTCTCCAGGGAAGCCCCCCACACTCACACGGTGGGCATGTGCTCTCCCAGGAAGCCCCCCACACTCACACGGTGGGGATGTACTCTCCGGGGAAGGCGTTGGTCGTGTAGCTGATCAGCAAGCATGTCTTCCCCACGGCGCTGCAGACAGGGCAAGCCACGTGGCTCCCGGGCCCGGCCTGGGACCCACTGCCCAGCAAGGGCAGCCCCCCTCCCCCGGAGCCAGAGGCGAGTTAGGGGCGTCTGAGGGAAAGGCGGGGGTCCCAGCCCACCAGATCCGCGGCGACCTAGGGCTGGAGGACGACCAGGGCAGGCCGGGCTCCGGGGACTGGGGTGGTAAATGGGGGCGCACCAACACTGGACCCCCAGGCAGAGCGGCGGAGGCCCCGACTCCGAGGAGCGGCGGCACGGGAGGGTGGGGCCGGCACAGGGTGCAGCCCAGGTGAGAGGCCTGGCCCCACCCACTGGGAGCACGGGGCGGCGGCCCCGCCTCGCTCGCAGCCAGCCCGGGCGGGAGCCGGGTGCATCAGGTGGGCCCGAGCCGGAGGCCCGCGGACCCCGCCCCGCCGCAGCCCGCCCTCCTCCGCCCTGGGGCGCTCGCCGCTCGGGCGGGCTCCGGCGGGGCCGCCTCTCGAGGACCCGGGCGCCATCCCCGCCCCGCCCGGGCTGCGCCCCGAGCCCCGGAGCCGCCCCCGCCCAGACCAGCCGGGCGGCCCGGGCCGCGCACTCACCCGTCGCCGACCACCACGCACTTGATGGCCTGCATGGGCGCGGGCCGGGCGGCGGCGGGCGCGGCCGCGAGCCGAGCTGCGGAGAAATGCCCGGCGCCGCAGCGGCCGCGGACCCGAGCGCCGACGAGCGGCCGGAGACAGCCGAGCGCCGCCGAAAGCCGGGCGCGGAGACAGCCGAGCGCGGCCGGCGGGGGCGGGGGCGGGGGCGGGGGCGGGGGGCGCCGGGCCGCGCGGCTGGGGGGCGGGGCCGCCCGAACCCGGGCACGGCTGCCGGAGCCGCGGCGCGCCCTCCTCCCGCGCGTCCCGGGCCCGGAGGTCTCGGCAGTTCCTCGGGGCGCCGCGCGGGCCGGAGGGAGCTCAGGACTGGAGCCGGAGGGGCGGGCCGCGCGCGCTGCGCGTTCTCGGGGACCTGCCCCCTGCCGCCGGGAGCCGGCCGCGAACTCGGGGTTCCGCAGCCGCCCGAACCCGCAGACGGACGCCCCCGCGGCTCTCCCGCCCCGCCGGGCAGGAGGGAGGAGGGCTAACGGCCGCACCCCGGCAGGGCGAGGGCGGAGGGTCGGCGCGCTCGGAGGGAGAGGCGGGGCCGGAACGTGTCACGAAGTGCGGACGCGCTGTATTTCCAATCCCGCCGCGCGCGGGCGGTCGCGGCGTTCAGGGTGACATCGCAAAGGGCGAGGGGAGACGCACCCGCGGGGCCCCTTCCCGGGGCGCTCCCAGGCGGCGGCGGCGGGACGCAGGGGCAGGGAGGGAGCCCTTCCCAGGCGCCTCCCGCGCGGTCGCCCCTCCAGTCGCCGCAACCCCGCTTGGACCCGACGGCCCGGGTCTCACGGGAAGGGGCGGGGCGGGCAGGACGCGGCCCCCGGTCCGTCTCGGCCGCTGCGCCGGGTCCTCCCGGCCCGCCTCACTTTGGGGGGCTCAGGGTGCGCACGGGGGAGCCCTGCACGTAGGCCAGGACGGCGTTCTGCAGGAAGCTCGCCCTCTGCGCCTCCTCGTCCCGGATGCGGGCGATCTCCGCCTCCCGGAGCCGCAGCTTCTCCCGCAGAGACGCGTTCTCGCTCTCCCTGTCCAGCAGCGCCTCCCGGTGGTCGCTCGCCATCACTGCCGGGCAAGGAGCGCCGTGGCAGGCCCCGCTCTCTGGGTGGCCTCATGTCCCTCCCGTCAGCGGGCGCCGGGAGGGCGAGGGTCTGGCTCACCTTTCAGCTGGCGCTCCAGGGCCGCCGCCTTCTCTCTCAGCGCCTCCTGGGCCGCCAGCTCCGCCTGCAGCCGGCCGTTCTGCTCCTGCAGCTCCACGCGCACCCTGCTCACCTCGGCCACCCTTTCCTGGTCCTTGTGGCTCAGGTCCTGACAGGAACGAAGGCTGGGGAGTGAGGCGAGGGGTCGGGGGCTAGCACCCTCGCCCCCCGACCCCCGCACCCCGCACCGGAGCCCCGGCTACCTGCTGCAGCTCTTCCAGGCGCCGCCGCAGGCCCTCCAGTTGCAGGCCCAGCTGGCTGGCCCGGGTCTGGGCCTCCACCACGGCCTGCTTCTGCTGCAGGCAGGCGCCCTGCGCCTCATCCCGCGCCTGCACCAGCAGACGCAGCTTCTCCTCCAGGTGAGCCAGGCGCTGTTGCTGTGGGCACAGGAGCCGCCACGGAGCTCACCTCCGGAGAGGTTTGCATGGGCACGACCCCACCCCTCCACCAGACTGGCTGCTCAAGATACTACGACTCATCTTGCTCTGAACCCACTCCTGGCAGGCACCTCCTGCAGATGCCCTCTAGACTCCCCTCCTCCCTCTCCAGTCACGCCACCCCTCCAGTTCCTCCATGCAGTCACAGGCTGCAGGGATGGGCCAAACCCCGCCACCATCGCAGGC